TTCATGTCCCCCCTCTTCTGATGTTGTTACCTCATTCCAGTCATAGCCCAAAATATACTTACTTAATGGTGTCACCCAGGTAAGGGTAAGGTCCATACCCCCATAGTGATGCCACTGCTATTGATGCCTAACTTGCTTCTCTCTGGAGGCTGCTGTGGATGGATGGCCCTGCATCTTTCTAGAGTCTGCTGTGAGGTGCACTGTGGATGGATGGCCCTTGCTGGTACATGGAAACTTTAAACAGTAATCGTTTTGTAACACATAGGGCACACTGCTATGGTTGCCTGGCCCTGCTCCTTGGGGGCTGCTGTGGATGGCAGACCCTGTATTTGTCTGGAGGCTGCTGTGGATGGCTGGCCCTGCTTCTTTCTGGAGGCTGTTATGGATTCCTGGCCCTGCCTTTCTCTGGAGTCTGGTGTGGATGGCAGACCCTGACTTTCTCTGGAGGCTGCAATGGATGGTGGGCCCTGCTTCACTTTGGAGGCTGCTGTGAGGTGCACTGTGGACAGCTTGTCCTTCTACTCTCTGGAGGCTGCTGTGGATGGCTGAAATATTCTGGTGTATAGCTCTCTTTAAAAAGGACTCTCCATATAAAATATATGAGCATAAGAGATAGAAAACATCTATCATCTATTTCCAATGTTGCACAGGTGGAAATTTACTTTAGAGCTGATTTATGGTTGTGGGGTGCACTAATGTACATTATGTCACACGTTAATGTACATTGTATTAAAGCAGCCAATTGAAATCAATGGATTTCCATTGCAAAAAAACACCTCAAAAATTGGACATGGTGCATTACCATGTGCTGCAGCATGTTGCAAGGCTTGTGCATTTCCTTAGTGCAAATTGAATAGCACTGCAATATATCATCGCATGTAAGTGTGCATATTCACAACTCATGAATTGGTCCTTACGTAGTACTACCCCCCCACAGGGGCCGCTTGATAATGTTTGTCCCCAGTGGTTGCCCTGACCTTGCAAGTCTCCCGACACCTCTGACACTCTGGGTTCAGACCTATTTCAACAGTATGAAATAATAATGCAAGAGACATGATTCTTTTGTAACACCTCTGTATTAGGCTTGTTCAAAAAAGTAGACCACAGAATGAAGGTTTATATACATGTGTCTGCCCTAGAACTACAACCAAAGAGAGGCAATAACACAGTTGTACCAGTATCTAAGTAGTGAGACCCCTAGAGGCCATACACAGCATATAACATATTGCTACATCCTTTCTCTTTTAAATAAAAGAACAATGAAATATAACAAACACAAAATGGTGAAGTAGAACATAGCTATAAATTAGATATAATCCTTGAGGTGAGCCGGCTTTCTGATTGTTCTGCCAGCTCGCGTAACATATGAGGTTTCTTCTGATTCTGGCAGTCTATTTTCTGGGACTGTCTCTCTCTGCCTAGAGACCTCCCTATGCTCCTCAGCAGTTCCTGTTTCTTTGTTGCTGGTATTCATAGTCTCATCGCTTTGAGTGTCCATATACTGTTCCCAGGGCCCTGTATCATCTCCTTCTTGTGTTTTTCTCAGATGTCTCCGATTTCTCCTCCATCTTCTTCCTTCCTCTGTTATAATTTCATAGGACCGTGGTCCCAATATCTGTACAACCTTCGCTTTTTTCCAGTGTTTGTCAATTTCCCTATTGGCTGAATCCGTACATTGTCATTGCTCTGGAGAACAGGCAGATCTTTTGCAGATTTATTATAATAGAAAGCTTGCCTATCTTGATTCTTCGTTAGTTTGGCTTTAACATTGCCCACAAGCTTTGGCTTTAGTAGTTGACCTGCAGTTGGTAGGAGAGTCCTTGTACGTCTACTCATAAGCCGCTGTGCTGGACTGGTGTCTAGGCCTTGTGTGGGTGTGTTTCTGTGGTCCAGTATAGACAGGTATATCTCTGTACCTGCCTGTTTTGCCTTTTGCATGAGTCTTTTGGCTGTTTTTACTGCTGACTCGGCTTTACCATTACTCTGCGGATATCCAGGAGATGATGTCTGGTGCTCAAATTCCCACCTCTCCCTGAATTTTTTGAATTCTTCCGATGTAAATTGAGCGGCGCTGTCAGAGAACACAATATCCCGGAATGCCATATCTGGCAAAATGGGCCTTGAGTTTTTTAATTACTGTTTTGGCCCTTGTGTCCTGTAAGTAGTCTATCTCCCAGAAGTTGGAAAAAATAGTCCACAGTTACCAGATATTCCTTGTCGTTCCACGTGAACAGATCTGTTCCTACTTTTGACCATGGTCTGTTTGGAATTGTATGTGGTTGCAATGTCTCTTTCGGTTGCTTATCATTGCACGATGCACATATTTCACACTGTGCTATAAAGTTTTTTATGTGGTCATTCATTCCAGGCCAATAAACATATTCTCGTGCACGACGTAGACATCCTTCTACACCTAAGTGAGTCGAGTGCAATCTTTCTATAATGTCTCTTCTAAGTGATTGTGGTATGACAGCTCTTTCTCCTTTAAAGATGATTCCATGCTGCACAGAGAGTTCATCTCTTATGTGAAAAAATGGAGAAACCTCCATTGGAGCATGCTGCTTGTGTTTTGGCCATCCCTTCAAGATGACAGTCGATAGGATCTGTAGAGTTTTATCTTCCGCTGTGCAGGTCTGTATTTGTTTTCAGTCTGTCTTTTGAGACAGACAGATATTCACACATATTGATGCTTTCAATGTCTTTTTCTTCTTCATTTGTGATGGGTAAGTAAGCTCTGCTTAGGGCATCTGCAATCAGTAAATCCTTCCCTGGACAGTAACAAATGTTAAAATCATATTTCTGAAGCCTTAACAGCATACGCTGCAGTCTTTTTGGGGCATTCAGTAGTGGCTTCTTTGTAATACTTTCTAAAGGCTTGTGATCTGAATGCACCACCACTTGTCGACCGTAGGTGTACTGGTGAAATTTCTCTAACCCAAATACTACGCTAGTAGTTCCTTCTCGATTTGAGCATATCCTTGCTCTGTTAGAGTTAACGCTCTGCCTTTTTCCCCAATCAAGTAATAAAAACAGCTTTACTTCCCTCTGCTCATCTCTGGGTGCCACTGTCAGGTCCACATACAGAGTAAACTCTTCCTTCCAGTGTCTCCATGTCTGTGAGAGATTGGAAGAAGTGACATCCAGTCTCTGAGGGGGTTTCAGGCCACTCTCCATAGTGCAGTCTGATAGGGACTCTGTACTTACAGTTGCTGATTCTCTGTACAGTTCCAGTGTCACACAATCTGTATTTGTAGACAGAAGACTTGCTATTCAGAGGTTCAGTGCCCAGCTGCCACCATGTTCTGTTAGTGGATCCTGCTCAGATGCTCACACACTGTAGTTAACAGGAGACATTTTATTAGGTGCTTCTAGCTGCCATTATACATGTGTCTGCCCTAGAACTACAACAAAAGAGAGGCAATAACACAGTTGTACCAGTATCTAAGTAGTGAGACCCCTAGAGGCCATACACAGCATATAACATATTGCTACAGTTGGCTTATCAGATACCTATGTGTCAGGGCTCCCGAGTATGACCAGAGGTGTGTGACTGACGCAGGGAAACGCAGACTTCAGATATGTTATAAACAATATAATTTATTAACACTAACAATACAAACAAACGCAGTGCAATACTAAAAACATAACACAGTGCAAACAAACCAAACCAACCACCCACAGATAAACAGTACATACAATGCAAGCGTCGTCAGGCAGGCGGGTCAATATCAATCGGGCAGGTAGGTACAGGGGGAGCAAGCGGAGAATGGTCGGGGTCACAAGCCAGGTTCAGCAGGTAGCGGGCAGCGTGGTACAGAGGGTCAGGCAGAGGAGATGGTCAGACAAGCCAGGGATCAGGAGCAGGAGAATGGTCAGACAAAGCCAGGGATCAGAGCAGGGGTCAGCAACGAATCAGACAGGAACAGGGAGCAGGAACAGGATACAGGGCCCAGGAGAAACACACACCAAGGCAGAGTCTGCAGGTCTGGCCATCCCTTAAATACACCAGTATAATCAGTTCCAGGTGTTTGACTGGCAGCAAGGTTGAGTCTCTGATTGCTGGGGGCACCCGCTGGCCAGCCCTGGTACTGCAGCTCATAAGGCAGGTGAGTCCCACCATTGCTGGCCAGTCCATTCCTGACAGTACCCCCCCCTCAAGGAGCGGCCTCAGGACGCTCCAAAACAGTCCTAGCTGGGCAAAATGTTCCACCGCCGGGTCTGGTAACTGGCGGGATATCAAAGACTGGCACACCGGGTAGGACTCCGGGCAGCGGCACACCGGGCAGGACTCCGGGCAGCGGCACACCGAGCAGGGGCACACCGGGCAGAGCACATCGGGCAGTGGCACTCCGGGCAGAGGGCACATCGGGCTGGACTCCGGGCAGAGGCACATCGGGCTGGACTCCGGGCAGAGGCACATCGGGCTGGACTCCGGGCAGAGGCACATCGGGCTGGACTCCGGGCAGAGGCACATCGGGCTGGACTCCGGGCAGAGGCACATCGGGCTGGACTCCGGGGCAGAGGCACATCGGGCTGGACTCCGGGCAGAGGCACATCGGGCTGGACTCCGGGCAGAGGCACATCGGGCTGGACTCCGGGCAGAGGCACATCGGGCTGGACTCCGGGCAGAGGCACATCGGATTACCAGGCGAAGCAGCAGGCAGCGGGCCACCAGGCGGAGCAGCAGGCACCGGGCCACCAGATGGAGCAGCAGGCACTGGGCCACCAGGCGGAGCAGCAGGCACCGGGCCACCAGGCGGAGCAGCAGGCACCGGGCCACCAGGCGGGGCGACAGGCACCGGGCCCCCAGGCGGGGCGACAGGCATCGGGCCCCCAGGCGGGGAGACAGGCATCGGGCCCACAGGCGGGGCGACAGGCGCCGGACCCCCAGACGGAGCGACAGGTCTTGGGCCCCCAGGCGGAGCGGCGGGCGCCGGACCCCCAGGCGGGGCGACAGGTCTCGGGCCCCAGGCGGGGCAACAGGCATCGGGCCCCCAGGCGGGGCGACAGGCATCGGGCCCCAGGCAGAGCGGCGGGCGCCGGACCCCCAGGCGGAGCGACAGGTCTCGGGCCCCAGGCGGAGCGGCGGGCGCCGGACCCCCAGGCGGAGCGACAGGTCTCGGGCCCCCAGGCGGAGCGGCGGGCACCGGACCCCCAGGGGGAGCGACAGGTCTCAGGCCCCCAGGCGGAGCGACAGGTCTCAGGCCCCCCAGGCGGAGCGACAGGTCTCAGGCCCCCCAGGCGGAGCGACAGGTCTCAGGCCCCCAGGCGGAGCGACAGGTCTCAGGCCCCCAGGCACGACAGTGGGCTCCGAGTCAACTGGCATGACCGCGGGCACTGGGTCAGACATTGGATCGTCTGGCTGGACAGCGGGCATCGGGTCACCAGGCATCAGGTCATTTGGCTCAACAGTGGGCACCGCGTCATCTGGCAAGACAGTGGGCACCAAGTCACCAGGCACGACAGTGGGCTCTGAGTCAATTGGCACGACAGCGGGCACCGGGTCATCAGGTACCCGGATTGTCTGGCTCGACAGCGGGCATCGGGTCACCAGGTATGACAGCGGGCACTGGGTCACCAGGCATCAGGTCATTTGGCTTGCCAGCGGGCACCGCGTCATCTGGCAAGGCAGTGGGCACCGAGTCACCAGGTACGACAGCGGGCTCTGAGTCAATTGGCACGACAGCGGGCACCGGATCAGGTACCGGATCATCTGGATCAACAGCGGGCATCGAGTCAACTGGCCTAATAGGATCATCAGGCTGGACCAGTTCATCATGCTGAGTGGAGGCATCAGGCTGAGTAGAGGCATCAGGCTGAGGAGAGGCATCAGGCTGAGGAGAGGCATCAGGCTGAGGAGAGGCATCAGGCTGAAAGACAGGCATCAGGCTGAAGACAGGCATCAGGCTGGGTACAGACATCAGGCTGAAGACAGGCATCAGGCTGGGTACAGGCATCAGGCTGGGTACAGGCATCAGGCTGGGTACAGGCATCAGGCTGGGTACAGACATCAGGTTGAAGTGCGGGTGCCGAGGCACCAGGCTGCACCACGGAAGGCAGGTTCTCAGATGGCAGGTTCACCGGTTTGGATACTGGCAGGATGGTACTGGTTGGAAAGAATTTTCGCTTTTTTCTGGTTTTAACTACTGGAGCACTGCAAGTAAACGCAGGTCTGCAAACGAATGGAGCAGCTGGAGACAGAGAAGAGCTGGAGGATGGAACAGGAGAGGGAGCAGTTGCTACAGAGGGCTTTTTTACAGGGTTAAAGGCAGGATAGGTGCAGCGAGTGGGAACAGGGTACTGACATGCGGTAGATAGCAGGGCAGGAGGAGCTGTTGGGAATGCAGGAATAGAGCTTTGAGGAGATAGATTAGAAGCAGGACTGGGTTTTTGTAAGCTGACTGAGGCTGGGGTGCAACAAATCTGTCCATGTCTGCAGTATGGGTTGAACAAAGCTGAGCTTACACAAAGCCTGTCTGACTAAAGACTGCACTGCGTTTATACAATCTCTTAGTGTCTGTGGTGAACATGCAGCATAATGCTCCAAGAAGCAATTCACATCATCCTCTAATAACCACACCAGGGACTCTACCTGGTCTACACTAAATGGCGGCAAAAATTCATCCCTGCATTCGGGGGTACCAGATGAAACCAACTCCGCACAAATCTGAATCAATGGCTGCACCTCAGAGAACTCTGTGCCCTGATCTACTAGAACATGAGCGAGCCGTATACATTCTAGCAGTTCATCCTGGGTATACTCCTTCAGAGTTTGATAAGCATACTCTCTGTCATCAAACACTAGCAGATATAAATACACACAACCTCATCAAGATCCATCCTTCCCATCAACAAACCAAGATGGCTTCCCATGTGCAGCCACTTCTGGTCAGGATTGGGCCTTGGTGTAATGTCAGGGCTCCCGGGTATGACCAGAGGTATGTGACTGACGCAGGGAAACGCAGGCTTCAGATATGTTATAAACAATATAATTTATTAACACTAACAATACAAAAAAAACGCAGTGCAAATACTAAAACATAACACAGTGCAAACAAACCAACCAACCACCCACAGATAACAGTACATACAATGCAAGCGTCGTCAGGCAGGCGGGGTCAATATCAATCGGGCAGGTAGGTACAGGGGGAGCAAGCGGAGAATGGTCGGGGTCACAAGCCAGGTTCAGCAGGTAGCGGGCAGCGTGGTACAAAGGGTCAGGCAGAGGAGAATGGTCAGACAAGCCAGGGATCAGGAGCAGGAGAATGGTCAGACAAAGCCAGGGATCAGAGCAGGGTTAGCAACGAATCAGACAGGAACAGGGAGCAGGAACAGGATACAGGGCCCAGGAGAAACACACACCAAGGCAGAGTCTGCAGGTCTGGCCATCCCTTAAATACACCAGTATAATCAGTTCCAGGTGTTTGACTGGCTGCAAGGTTGAGTCTCTGATTGCTGGGAGCACCCGCTGGCCAGCCCTGGTACTGCAGCTCATAAGGCAGGTGAGTCCCACCATTGCTGGCCAGTCCATTCCTGACACTATGGGCCACTGGTGTCACAGTGGAATGCAAAGAATTATATATACAGTATATATTCTGACATAAATGATTATAGGACACCATAATTTGAATAGCAATGGCTTAGATGTGAAGAGGTCCCTTTAACTAGAAATAGAAACTTGAGTCCTGAGATGTTTAAAGTTCCTTATGTGAAAGTAGTTGTTGTATTCTGCTAGCAATGGTGGGACCCATATACAGTAGTAAGTAATGGTAATTCAGTGAAGATAACAGGCTGTAGTACTGCTCAAAGCCAAGGTCTCCTGGTACTGAGGTGTAAAGGTGTCTACATGTAGTGTCTCTAGAGTGATGACAGAAAGAAGTTGGGGCATCCACCTGCTCACCAATCCTATGGACAGCACGGCCTCCTAGGAACAAAAGTTCTTGCCCAGGCTTTTGGCTGTGTTACAGATCCGCCAGGTGGTACCTCTGGCAGCCCACTAGGCGGAATCACCCGGAGCGTGGAGTCTAAGTCCCGGTCTGCGTTTTCACTAGGGCCCCTGATGGTGGGGATGGACTTGGAGCAGAACCAGGACCAGGTCACGACCTCCGAGCAATACCACCAGCGGCAGAGGGAGCCTCCGGGGATGAGAGTAAGACAGAATAGAGCCAGATGTGAGGAGGCCGGCAGGACCAGGCAGGATAAACCGGCGATTGTCACCGTGGGGAATGGCGAGGTACAAAGACGGCAGGCAGAGAGTGGTCAGGTCACACGCAGGGTCAGTACCGCAGAATGGTCAAACAAGCCGGGGGTCGGGATAGGAGAAGGCAGCATAGTCAGGGGCAATCCGGGTCAAACACAGGAGAAGGCAGCGTAGTCAGATAATCCGGGTCAGGGCTGGAGCAGGCAGAAGGTCAAACAATCTGGGTCTTCAATCACAGGGCACAGGTAACTTCAGGTAACAGGTCAGACCTTGCGGCGATTTGTGACAGTGCAGGGCATCTTTAAATATCGCGCCCTGCACTGTCCAGCCCAGGACGCTCCCCCGGGCTGTCATTGGCCGCCCGAGGCGCGCCCGCGGCTCCTACTGCGCATGCGCGGCCTCCTGTCAGTCGCGGCCCGCCGGGACCTGGTGCTTGTGTCCCGGCGTGAGCCGCCGCTAGTGCGCATACGCCGGGGACGGAGCCGCGGCGGTCCCTGACAGGCTGTTTGCAGAGAAATGCAGAGTTACTGCCTGACAGCCTGTCAAGAAGAGATGACTGGCCGAAGAGCGGACAGTGGCAGTCCCAATGCAGAGAAGCTGATGAGATCCCGGTGTGGAGATTGGCATCACCACTGTGCAGAGTCCCGCTGCAGTAGGCCAACAATCTGTCTGGAGGAGAATGGCAGTCCCCCTGTGTTCAGCTCTGAATCCCGCACCAAGTGAGAGAGCCAGTTCCTTGCTGCAGAATATATCTGCTCTCCCAGCAACCTTCTGGTTCCCCAGCTCTCTGGTAGTTGTAGTTCAATCAGCACAATACAGTATGTATTGGCTATAGGACTACCGGTCCCAGGATCCTCTGCTGTCAGAAGAACTGGATCCACTCTACCAACATGAAGTAATGTAGAGGTCCCAGTACTGGGCACTAGAAGGAAACGAGTTAACCATAGTCCCATCTGTAAATGTCCCAGAAAGGCATAACGGCATAGCCGGCACCTGGCTATACTTCATTTACCTATAACCCGCATGTCTTTTTTTTTCTTCAACAATCGACTTTGCACAGATAAATCAGCTATTTGCAGCGCTGGCAGCTGTGTGGATGACACATAATTATATCAAAACAGGATTTCTTTTGTAATTGTGTTGAGGCGGCAGTTGCTTCCTGGCTGACATTTGTTTCATATTGTTTATATGGGAGGCAAACAAGCAAGTTAATAGTGCAGCGAAATGCGCAACGTCAATTATACAGCACAGAAGAATAATGCAATAAAAAAAAAAAAAGCTGGGAAAAATGAATGAGAGAGGGCGCTGTATAGAGTGGAGATAACTGTCACAATGTTCACTTCACAATGCTATACTTATATTCTTTGTGATTAATAAAAGAGCATTATTAACTTTATTTCAAAGGTTTATTTTGAACTTGCATTTATCATAAAGAACACAATCAGGATGTTTAATGTACAGCGGTAGTTACCATTGTTGCCCTGCAGTGCTGGTGTCCTGGGTTCAGTTTCTGCATACTGTCTGTATGGGGTATGTACTCTATGTGCTATATATTGCCGGTTAGTATTTGTGGTTCCTTGCTCAATCCAAAAATTTACCAGTACATGAAAGCCTAATGACAGCTAAGTTTTGGATAGAGTGGGGTAGAGTTAACATTATAGTTACATTTTTATAACTAGCACAGTGGCTAAATGGTTAACACTTCCGCCTAGCAATACTAGGGCTGTTGGTTCGAATCCCAACCACGGCACCACCTGCCTGGCGTTTGCAAGTTTTCCCGGTGCCTGCGTGTGTTTTCTCCGGGTATTCCAGTTTCCTCCTACACTCCAAAGACATGCTGGTAGGTTAATTGGATCCTGTCTAAATTGTCCCTAGTATGTGTATGTATGAATGTGAGTTAGGGACCTTAGATTGTACTCCCCTTGAGGGTTAGGGACTGATATAAATGTACAATATATGTAAAGCGCTGTGTAAATTGATGGCGCTATATACAGTCAGGTCCATAAATATTGGGACATCGACACAATTCTAACATTTTTGGCTCTATACACCACCACAATGGATTTGAAATGAAATGAACAAGATGTGCTTTAACTGCAGACTGTCAGCTTTAATTTGAGGGTATTATTTACATCCAAATCAGGTGAACGGTGTAGGAATTACAACAGTTTGCATATGTGCCTCCCACTTCTCAAGGGACCAAAAGTAATGGGACAATTGGCTTCTCAGCTGTTCCACGGCCAGGTGTGTGTTATTCCCTCATTATCCCAATTACAATGAGCAGATAAAAGGTCCAGAGTTCCATTCAAGTGTGCTATTTGCATTTGGAATCTGTTGCTGTCAACTCTCAAGATGAGATCCAAAGAGCTGTCACTATCAGTGAAGCAAGCCATCATTAGGCTGAAAAAACAAAACAAACCCATCAGAGAGATAGCAAAAACATTAGGCGTG